GTATTCATTCATAACAAATCGTATTATTTCTGGGTCTTGGTGATTCTTTTTGGTCTATTCTGATTTATAATGAATCGCACTAAACCCTGTACCCCCTAAACCCCTAAACCCTAAACCCTAAACCCTAAACCCTAAACCCTAAACCCTGAACCCTAAGCATAATGTGCAAAGCCCTGTCACGGGGACCCGACCAGGCCACTCCCGAAGCGAAGAAAAGCGTCAGGCTGCATGAGAGCGGCTGCACCACGAAGCCTGAAACTCAGGTTTAGCATTTAGGGTTTAGGGTTTAGGGTTAGGGTTTAGGGTTTAGGGTTTAGGGGTTAGGGGTTAGCGTTTTAGCGTTTACCCCCTTGAGGGACTTCGGCTTCGATGATTAAGGCCACAGGTTTGGGGCTTTTAGGGTTTTGGGGATGGATTAGGGGGACCCTTGGGGATAAAGACCCTCTGAATAAGGTCCCTGTTCAAGAGAGCCAGAAGAGGGTTAAGAAGGGGTTCCCTTTTAAGGGTCCCCCTTATCCTACCTAGGATTAGGGTTTTGGGGTTTCAGGTTTTTTTTCCCACCCGTTTCGCAAGCGTATACGGGGAAGAGGTCAGGCCTAGTTGGGGTTTCAGGTTTGGGGTTCAGGGTTTTGGGGTTTTAGGGTTTCGGCTTTAGGGTTTCAGAATTCCCCGTCGCACGTCACGTCCATGATTCGGCGAGAGAGTTCGGGCCCGAAGCTGTCCCCTGACCCACAGAGACATCTGCCCCCCCCCCCCAAATACCAGTACTCACTCACTCACTCACAACCCCTCCGAAGCTACAAGGCCAATTGCCCAATACATGAATGTCAACGCAGAAACACGCTCAACCTTTGACCCCAAAAAGGAACCCCTAAACCCTAAACCCTAAGCCCTAACCCTAAACCCTAAACCCTAAACCCTAAGCCCTAAACCCTAAACCCTAAACCCTAAACCCTACCCCGAATTTCGGAAACTCCCACTTGCAGCTCGGCGGCCCATGTAGTCATGGCCCAAGCTCATGCCCAGGGGCTCGAAAGCCTTCTCTGCCTCGAGACTGCAGAGCTCAGGCCGTGGGTTTAGGGTTTAGGGTTTAGGTTTAGGGTTTGGGGTTTAGGGTTTAGGGCTTGGGGATTTGGGTTTAGGGATACAAAGGAGTATGCCGTAGACCAAACAATCGACGCACGCACGTTCCTCTCAACGCATCTAGCTCGACCACGTACGCGAAACGATTCGATGAGGATGCACGCCGAAAAGGCCTAAACACCAGCTAGACAACGGCCCAAGCACCTCTGAGCCCCCCTCGCTCTGCTACGACGCGTTCGGGGGTCCCGACAATCAGATTTGGGATTTCGGGGCTTTTGCCACAAGGCGAGAGCAGTTCAGGACTTATTCCCATCGTCCTGCAGGAAGGGGAGCGGACCTTTGGGGTTGGAACTTCTTGGAAGCCATTTGTTCCCTCGCATTGCTCTAAGCCCCAGTTCACAATCCCAACACCAGGCGGTGAACCTAAACCCTTTTTACTGAACCTAAACCCTAAACCCTAAACCCTAAACAATAACCGTGATCCTCTCAGGTCTCGGGCTTTTCAATCCCCGCACTGCAACGCCCTCCGAAGTGGTACGCTTTTGGTGCCAGGAAGGTGAAGACTAAGAGATGTGAAGAGGGTGACCCAAAATCTCGTGCTGCCTGCGGTCACAAGCGTCCGAGTACGGCTTCTGCCAAATTCATAATCATGACGTCGCCCCTACCCTAAACCCTTTTGCATCCAGCTCTGTTCGCCTCGCAGCAAGGAGTTGCCTAAACCCCAAACCCCTAAACCCTGCATCCTAAGTTTCGATGCATAAGAAGTGATCACAGCCGCACGGGATCAGGGGACCTCACGTCCAGCCGCTGCTTTCGAGGAGCTGAAGTTGGAAACGCTTCAGGATGCAGGGCGATCAGAATCAAGATGGGGGTTTAGGGTGTAGGGTTTAGGGCTTAGGGCTTAGGGCTTAGGGCTTAGGGTGTAGCATGACGATATAACAATATAATCCTAAAATGTAGAACAATAATAGCAGTATACCTATTTAAAGAAGTAACACTAATCATCATCATAAGCATAAGCATGATCATAATACTCATAATAGCTCACATGATGATACAATACTATAAGGGTGCAGGGCTCTCACCTCTGTCACTGGTGTCTCAAGCGTTGTCGAGAGCCAAAAGGAAGCACTGCCGACAGAGTGGACATGGCACAGCCTGTTCCCGCTTGCACGCCTTGTGCCTGCACCAATCCTAGGTTCATGGTTGGGATCGTATTAAAATTCCTAAATGTCTATTCCTTATTGGGCTTGGGCTTAAGTACCCTTAAAAATGTCAAATGTTACCCAACTATGACCAAGAATCTAGTATGCAGGCGCGATGGAAGCAGTGGCTGCAGGGCAGCTTCCGGGCTCCCTGGCCAGGGTGAATGGCTTCCAAACATACCGCACAGGTGGTGGCTTCATCCGACATCTCCCCCAAAGCATCCACATACCTCTCCAGGGCCTGCTGACCAAGCTCCCGTGGCGACTCCGACTCCTCAGTCTCGGAGGATTCAGAGGTCAGCGTCCGCACCAGCGCGATCGACGCGAAGAGCATGGACACCACCATGATCCCATCCCGAAGCTTTCCGATGGCCCAACGCGGGAACCCCTTTCTATGCTCACAGCCACGCGGCGTCACGCGCGTGTGTCAGCTCATGTTCATATCATGTCTCCTTCCTACAACAGCACGCGAGTTGAACCTGCAACCAGAGAAAGTGGCTCTGACCCTGAATCTGAACCTGTGTGCTTTTTGTGTCTGCCCAGCCTGTCTCGCCGTCAGGTCTGGCGTGAAGCTGCGCCGATACCTTTGGGCGACGGCTTCTGGGCTACAAATCCGAGCAGCGCGCCTTTCTTCCCCACAGACCGCGAAGGGACCTCCCATGATGTCCCGTACGAGCATGCGCAAACAGTGTTTGGCTGCAGCTTAGGGTTTGAGAGAAGCCATGGGCCTCTCCCCCTTTTGCAGTGTTTGGGGTTTACGCGGCGTCTAGGAGCCGTAACTTACAATATCTTGCCTTTTGGGTCATCGGCATGAAACCATCGTGCCGTGCGCCCCGCCAGAGCCGGAGGACGCACATGTTGTAGACGAAGGGCCTCAGCTAAACCGTCGGGGCCTTGTGTGGCTTCATAATATGTGGGTTTAGTAGCGAGGGCAATTTCTTGCCACCCGCCAAGCAGGACAAGCAGGGCTTTTGGGGCTTAGGGTTAGGGCGGTTAGGGTTCTTTTTGCCCCGGCCTAGCCATAGCGGCGCGCTGCGGGGTCTCAACCTACTCCGACTAGCCAAAAGGAAGGACCTTTCTGTTGTGGAGCTGAAAGGTGCCTTGCTGAGGATGTGAACTTTTCGGGTAGCTCCAGAGAACCAGGTCAACACCTGCATGAAGAAAACTACCCTTTGGGGACACGGGTGCCAGGATACCCACGCGGGTGTGACATCGGCATCACAGTTCGACCCTCTTCTCGGTGAAGGAAGCACAAGGACTAACTCGCACTAGATTCGCCAACCGAAAGAACAGTAAGAGGTCGCCAACCTAAAGAACAGTGCGAGGGGTGTTGCTGTGTGCCCCGTGCTGCTCCTCTTCGTCACCCGGGCTACCTACGAAGCAGCTCACACCCGTAAAATCGTAGTGTAGTACAACTACTACTACTACTACTACTACTACTACTACTACTACTACTACTACTACTACTACTACTACTACTACTACTACTACTACTACTACTACTACTACTACTACTACTACTACTACTACTACTACTACTACTACTACTACTACTACTACTACTACTACTACTACTACTACTACTACTACTACTACTACTACTACTACTAGTACTACTAGTACTACTAGTACTACTAGTACTACTAGTACTACTAGTACTACTAGTACTGCTAGTACTACTAGTACTACTAGTACTACTAGTACTACTAGTACTACTAGTACTACTAGTACTACTAGTACTACTAGTACTACTAGTACTTCTTGTCCTACTAGTACTACTAGTACTACTAGTCCTACTAGTACTACTAGTACTACTAGTACTACTAGTACTACTAGTACTACTAGTACTACTAGTACTACTAGTACTACTAGTACTACTAGTACTACTAGTACTACTAGTACTACTAGTACTACTAGTACTACTTCTACTTCTACTTATACTTCTACTTCTACTTATATTATACTTCTTCTTGTCGTCTCCACAGGTAGCCCTCCGGCATTTCTGGGAGTATCAAAGGAGAGGAACAGAAAGCACCGACCGTCACCACAAGAGAAGGAGGATGCCATGTCCTTCCTCTTTCCTATGCAGGTCGAAAACCCCTCCACACCAGGAGGATGCTGGGCACATGGCCAGACAAAGCCCTGGAGCGGGAAGAGCAAGTAGCCGATGAACAGGCTCCCAGGAACCAGCACCTCGACAGCGCGGGTTCAGGATTTGTTGTTGCCCGCCCTTTTGGTTGCCCGTTTGGTTTAGGGGCGCTAGGGCCTTGAGTGAGTCTGCGGCTGCGGGCTGTCAACACAGCAAGTCTCCTGGGCTCTGAGCTTCAGCGACTTCGTAGCCCTCAACCAAGAGCTGTACTGCAGAGGAGGACATGTGGGCCCACACGGGCAAGCGAAACTTAAAGCCTCACGGCCACATCAAGAACAACGTTTTCCCAGTGAGCCCCATGTTAGGGGTGTGGCGGGGTAAACAAGCAGGGCAGAGTTTGCACAAGCGGCCCAAACCCTCATGCACCAACTCTTTTTCATTCTGCTCGTCTAGGTTTGAGAATTAGTCAACGATGCAGGAGACGAGGTCAGAGCGCTTTTCTGTATCACAATTCCTCATGTCATGTAACGTACTTCTTCCCAAACACATTTCCAGAACTTTCACAACTTCTGGACCTCTTCGCCCTGCAAGCCTGCCGAAATACGCGGATGTCAACATGCCAACTAGCTCACCGCAGCTGTCTGCCGATGTCCCTCGAGAATCCGCCTGAAGTCCCGCAGAGCAGCGCGTGCTGCGTTGGCTTCGGCATCCTTCTTTGTGGCAGCTTTGGCTACAAATTCAAGGTCTCCTCCTCCACCAACGTCTCCTCCACGCACTGCGAGTGTGGCTTCGACTTGCTTGTCAGAGTCCGCTCGACTCCTGTAGCGCATCTTCTTTGGCGTTTTCCCATCCACCTTCTGCAGCAAAAGGTTCAGAAAGGACTTCGGGTCGTCAGCACCTTCCACGTCCCTTGCGAGGGCAACCATCTGCTCCTCGTCGCCACTGGCCTTCTTCAGCTTCGCTGAGAAAGCCTTCAGATTCACCTTCGCTTGCTTTGCGCCCTTTCCCTTTGCCTTGCCTGGCTTCGGCTTGCCTGCTGTCGAGGAAGTGGAGTTCCCTTCATCGCTTAGAGATCCTATCGGTGGCAATGGTGGCATCTCTGCCATCTCAGGCACTGGAGATTCTGCCTGCAAGGACAGGTTCGGCAATGGCGGCAGTGGCAGCTCAGGTGCGGACGGCTTAGGCAATGGCGGCAGCTCAGGTGGCAACGGCGGCAGTGGCAGCTCAGCTACTACTGGACCCATCTCCTGCGGCACCTTTGCTTGCGATGTCCGCTTGGACAGCTTGGGCAATGGCGCCAGATCAGGTGTTATCTGGTCCAGCACCTTTGCTGCTGGGGATTTCGGCGCCGGAACCTTGGTGGGTGCTTGGTATGGGTATTTCCGCTTGGCAGGCAGCGCCTTTGCTTGGGATTTCGGCGCCGGAGCCTTGGCGGGACGCTCCTCCTCCAGCGCCTTTGCTCTTCTGTCAATGGCGCGCTGGAGCCATGCGCTCCGGTTGTTAATTTTCACAGGATTGCTCTTCATCTGGTTGATGAGCTCCTTGGCCTGCTCAAGCTCCAGGTCTTGAAGCCTCAACTTGACGTTAGTGTCCAAGTCTGTTTCGTCACGAAGCAGCTCCTCAAGCTCTGGCGCAAGCTCCGGCACAGGAGCTGGCTGTCTTCTGGCCTTCGGGCTCTGTGCCCGCTGCAGTCTTTTAGCAATGGCTCCCATAAGCCAGGCATTTGGGTTCTTGATGGGCACAGGATTGCTCGTCATCTGTTTGATGAGCTCTCTTGCCTCTTGAAGCCCCAGCTCTTGCAGCTTCAACTTGGGAGTCATGTCCAAGCCCTTCTGGTCGCGGACCAGCTCCTCAATCTCCGCCGAGAGCTCCTGGCGGGCTGGGATGGAGGAGGGCGCCGATAGCGTTGTCCGCAAGGAGCGGAAGAAGCCCATTTCTGGATTCTTGTCTTCCGCTTCCTCCTCGGTCAGGCCCACTTCCTTCAGCCTTGCGCTGAGCGCCCTGACCGGGTCGTCGAGGTCTGGAATTGCCCGAGGCTTGCAGAGGCTGCGCTTCACATTCCCATTCCTAGGATGGCCCTGAAAAGCCTCTGAAAAACTATTTCCTGAGTATGACCCTCTTAAACCCCAAAAACTAAAACGGAAAATTGTTAAAAACTGTCCCAAGGGCCTACCTAGATTCTCTCCAAAAGCCAGGTGGTTGGTCTCACGCAGGTGCTCCTCCATCTGGGCCCAGGTGGAGAAGCCAGCAAAACACTCCAAGCAGCGCCATCGCACGGGCTTCGTGAGCTGCTGTTTCGCCAGGTTCTCTGCCTCCATCGTTGACACATCCAGGTGGCCGGTGTTCAGCAGATGCTCACGGCAGGACTCCCAGTCCTGAAACCGGTCAGCACAGTCCGGACATTCGAAGCGGTGGGTGATCGGAGGGCTTTTGTCAGACGTTTTTCTCGCAACCTGGGATTCAATGTATGGCTTCACCACAATCGGCTGCAGGGCACGGATGTCAGCATCCTCCACATCTTCCTCCACGTCCTCCTCCTCCTCCTCTTCCTCGTCGTCCTGCTCGAGCTCCTCGGTTGCCTTCTCGCCCTCATCCAGCCGCAGCCTCTGCCGATGCCGAACCCAAAACACCGGGTCGGCCTTGGCCCCATAATCACCTCCCAGCTCCTGGATGGTCGGTGCCTGGTTGATGAAGCCAAGGAGGTCCTCGAAATCTCCCTTGGCTTCTTCATCTTCCCAAAGGAGGATCTCCTGTCCGTTCGAGTTCGCCTCAGCCGGGCTTACCAAGTTCTCCATGATGGCAGCACGCACGGCGTTCACCTTGTCCATAACCTTCATGGCCGGCAGGTTGCGGTTGATGAGCAGCAAACGGTCGTCGTTCTTCTTGCTGGACTTCAAGCGCAGGCCCGTAAGCGATGCCCTGGCACTTTCAGCACTGCCCCCGGGCCCCTGATTGAAGCCCAGCTCCAAGGTCATGCCGGAAGGGCAGATGGTGGTCAAGACGAAGACCACCTCCTCGGGCTTCAGAAGCGTGGCATTATTCACCCGAGCTGCTTGTCCAGACTCCACGAGCATCATCTCAGAAGCCACGCAGGCGAAGTGGTCCTTGGCCAATCGCGACGGGTCTGTTACATGGCAAGGAAAGCCCAGGGAAGACTGCTCGCCGAAGAGCCCTGGCATAACGCGTCTCCCGCCACGCACCTCGTGCATGATGGTGAACTCGACTTCGTATGGGGAGATGGCGCGGGCAAACTCGAGCTCGCCCACATTGAACTTGCGCGGCCCCCCTGCCGCCATGTGGCACATACGAGGAGCCAGGCTCAAGCCATTGATTCGAGGCACCTGCGCAGGTCCGAGCCCCATGGTCCTGGTGTCATGCCGGCGTGAAACCCAAGGCGTAGTCTCAGTGGTCTCATCTGCCTCGTCTGGAGGAAAGGCGACAGCAATGTACTTATTGTCGCTGACCACCTGGCTGGGCTTGAAGCCCGACACCGTCTCGATGATCTCTGCAAGGTTCTCGTCGGACATCCTCTTCACAGGCGCCCGCGGAATCAGCACTGCATCCTGGGAGGACGCGGCCCTCGGGCCCAAGGACTCCAAAGCATCGATCAAGGGCTCTTGGCCTGAAAGCCTGTGCGAGCCGAACAGCAGAGTATCAGAGAAGGCGGCAGCCAGCAGGGCATAGATTTTTGAGGCCGGAGCACGAAAGACTTCACCAATGGCTGGCACGTAGCTGTCATCTGTCAGCTTCTTCTGCTGCTCACGATTCTTGTCAGGCCGTCGAAGAAGCTGCACAAGGCCATAGAGATCGGCGCGCACACGGCAGGAGAGGTCTCTGTCACGCTCGTCGCTGCAGAGATCACGGCAACGAATCGTGAGATCTGCGACGAAGGACACGAAGGCTGTCATCTTGGACGAGTCGATCGCCGTGTCCTTCTCCAGCATCGTGGTGGCGCGGTACCAGCGCGCCAGCGTGTTTGAACGAGCAGGCGTCAGCTTCAGCCTTCGAAGCCATGCACAGAACAGCCGGAGGCTGGCTATGGGCTCCGAAGCATGGCCGGCGTCGAAGAAGCGCCAGGCTTCGGCCGTGTCCCGCAGGTGGCTCGAGAAGTCGTCCTGGTCTTGAAAGCCCAGCCTCGAAGGATTCAGGAAAGGCGAGGGTGTGTTGCAGGCCGCCGCCAGAACAATGGCTTCTGCAGGGCAGCCGAAGAGGCAGCCAAGCCAGACCAACCTGGAAAGTTGAATGTCCAGTGGCAGGTACAGCGCCAAGCGACCCAACACTGTCACCCTTGCATTTGCCGACTCTTCTGTGAGCACAGCGAGCTGGGCAAGCTTGTGCACTGCAGCGTTGATTGCCTCGTCGCCCGGCGGCGCGAGCAGCTCGGAAAGAAGCTCGCCGGGCGAGCCGCTGCCCAAGCGCAACTGCTCTGCAAGGGCCAGGTTGCCCTCGACGACCTTGCCCAGGCCATCAGCAATGCCCTTTGCTTTCAGGTACAGGGTGGTAAGCGGCGTGCGGAGGATCTCAGGGATATCGTACTCCATCATGCACTCCTCGAAGAACATCTTCGAGACCATGCGGATGCACCAGCCGGGTTGCGTGCGGCCTGCACGCCCTTCTCGCTGCAAGCAAGCTGAACGAGCACACCACTGCGCCATCAGCCTCGCGAGGCCCATCTGTGAAGGATCACCAACACTTGTCTTGTGAATGCAGAAGTCGATTACGCCAATGACCTGGGGCAGCGTCAGGGATGACTCGGCAATCGTGGTAGCCAGGACCACATTGCAGATGCCCGGAGGAGGCTTCTCCAGAACGAGCTCCTGGTCTTCCTGTGCCACCTGCGAGTGGAGCGCGAAGAGGCGGTATTGAAGCGATCCTGCGGTGCCTTCTGGCTTGCTGAAGGTGCTTGACGAAGCCGGCATTGGTGCTGCGAAGGGGCCTTCCATGCCTACCATCTCTCGCATCTCATCAAGGTCCTCCTCTTCCTCCTCGTCTTCATCCTCAGGCAATTGGTCTGGCTTTGGTGGCACGTAGCCCATGTTCACGGAGCCGACGGTGGGCAAGTTCCAGTAGAGCCAGCTGTGCATGCGAAGAAGGTCGGCGTAGCCCGGCACGAAGATCAGGATTGTTGACCCTCCTTCGGCGATCTCAGGGATCATCTCTTGCACCAGCTCACGCGCAACGATCTGCACCCTGGGTTGGAAGCGCCCTTCGAGCGAATCGCCGTCTTGGCCACGGGAGGCTTTAACTAAGTCGAGTGGGAAGAACTTCTTGGCGAACTTGGCTGTCCGCTTCATGAGCTTCGGGGGAAGTTGCCGGCCTGCAGGTGCCTTGCCTTCAGCAAGGTCCTCCAAGTGAAAAGTCTCCACATCGAAAAGCCTGTTGCCAACATACATCGGGGTCGGTGGCGTGATCTTGTCCTCGGAAAACTCGGCGAAGTATTTCCCAAAGAAGCTGGCCTCGATGGTGGCTGACATCAGGACGACTCGCAGGTGCGGGTTTATCCGCAGGAGCAGGCGCAAGGTCAGCAAGAGCAGCTCCATGTCCGCAGTCCGGATGTGCGCCTCGTCACAGATCAGGTGCGTCATGCCCTCGACGCTGCTTGGATCTGCCGTCAGCCAGCTCAAGAGGTAGCCAGCGGTCACAAAGGACAGGTGCTCGCCAGGAACCGTCTCCCCTCTTATCCGGTAGCCGACCTCGACGCCGAAGTTCAGGCCCAGCTCCTCGGCCACGCGCCGGGCCAGGCTTGTGGCCGCGAGTCTTCGCGGCTGAGTGACCAGAACATTGCACGGCGTTTGGTTCTTGGCAGCCTCCTGGAGGATGAACTGCGGCACCTGCGTGGACTTCCCGCAGCCCGTGCCACCCACGATGATGGACACGCGGTTCGCGGCGATCATCTGCCGGATGTCTTCACGCAGGGAGCAGATGGGGAGCTCCTCGCTACTGGGCTTCCTATTTGTGGCGCAGGATGCTGGCGGAGGGGTCGGCAGCTTTCGAATGCCCTGCAAAGCCTCGAGGCCCATGAGATGATCGACCCCATCCTCATCGTCATCGATCAGCTCCTCATCTGCACCGGGCTGCTGGGCCTCCAAACTGGACTCTTCCTGGCTGGAGTCTTCCTGGAGGCTGGCATCGCCTTTGGATGCTGCCTCTTCAGCCACGGCCCGCCTGCGGGTCGGATGCCGCGCTCTGCGCGACTGCCTGTTTGCCGCAACACCTGCAGCCCAAGCAGCAAGAGCCGCTGCACGTGCTGACAAAACGCCTTGCTTCGGCGACTCGCGCGCGGCCCGCCCACGCGTGGAGACCGATCTTGCGACCGGAAACGCCGGTGGCGGCTCCCCAAGGGCGAAAGCCTCATCGAGAAGTGCCATGGCAACTACAAGGCACCGGCTGGCACCGGCAAACTGAGCATCAGCTACTTTACAGGCTGTGTGTGGCTTGCGCAAGGTTGAGGCCTACTCTTCAAAACCGACCAGCACGTCATGCTTTGAATGAGCTAGGCCGTCGCGGAGGCGTGTGTTGCCACAAAATCTTAGTTGTTGCTGGTCTTGTGGCTCTGCTTTCTTGAGCCCCAGTCATGCACATTGCCGAGCTTTTCGTGGGATGGCGCTCTTGGCAAGGCAAGCCACGAACAGATCGGCAGCCGAAATGGGTCTCAGCGGCTCAGCCGCCATGTTCTGCTCTCATCTGCTCCGGGGCCGGCACATGAAACAAATGCACGGAAGCACGCACCTGGAAGGAGATGTCCTGCGCGGAAAAGCCCACGATGGCCAAAGTGAGGGTTTCCGAAGATGAGGGTGCCTACTTTAGGGTCATTTTGAAGTACTATACTGTCTAGACTTGGAGTATAACAGAAATACCCTCACGTTCTCTCGGCCCAAGTAAGCCCCGTGCCTGCATGGACGTGACGGCACGGCCCTCCCCCAGAGGCTGCACCAGGAAGCGGAGAGGGTGCGCGCCTGCATGATACGCCACTGGAGAAGCTATGTAGCCCTTCCTGCAACCCTAAGCCCTAAGCCCCAACCGTAAACCCTAAACCCTGAACTCTACAAGGATGCGGTGGAGCTGGGCTCGCGGCACCATGTCAGGGCTTGCAGGACGCAAAGGGGGGGGGGGAGGGGGGGGGGAGGGGGGGGGGAGGGGGGGGGGAGGGGGGGGGAGGGGGGGGGAGGGGGGGGGAGGGGGGGGGGGCCTGCTAAGTTCGTGTTCGGGTGGGGGGAGAGAGTCTTCGGGTTTAGGGTTTAGGGTGTAGGGTGGAGGATTTTGGGTTTTAGGGTGTAGGGTACAGGGAACCCTACTCTCAAACCTGCCCACAACCACAAGGGGACCCCGAATGTTTTTAAACGGCAAAGTCGGGTGAAAGGCAGATGACATCTGTTTAGGCTAACCCCAAACCCTAAACCCTAAACCCCCTAAACCCGTGCACTCAGACTCAGGGCACGGCTGCTTTCGGGAAAGATCGTGATTGCGACGTTGAACAGGAAGCTGACCTTATACCATCCGGGCCCTCCCGTGCCACCCACAACCGCAAACTCTCAAACCTATGAACATCTCCCAAACCCTGAACCGAAGTTTAGGATTTGGGGCTCAGGGTTTAGGGTTTCGGGTCTCGGGTTGAGGGTTTAGGGGGTGTTCTGTGGGTTCAGGCGCTTACCCCCGGATGATGCAGCCACGCTGCCAAGCACAAGGTCGAGAACGCCTCGCACACCGCAGAAGCCCAAAACAGCAAGGATTCGAACAGCTTGGGGTGCGTTGGAGTGCTATGTCATCAGAATGACAGCGGCAATGGCAATAACAATAACCACAAAAAGAAGAATAAGAACAACAGCAACACTATATAACAATAACAACAACAAGAAGAATAGCAACAACAAGAAATAATCATAATCCCAGCAATGAAAAGAACCTCGTGAGAACGAAAATGCCAACAACAATACCACAACAATACTATTATCATACTATTATCATACTATTATCATACTATTATCATACTATTATCATACTATTGTCATACTCTCTCGTCAGATTTCGGGCCCTTGGCCGAAAGAGGATCGGTTAGATTTGAAGGTTCCGAGCGCCGAGGTGTGCGGAAGTTGCCCTCGCGAGCCCTCGGACAGCTTTAAGGGTTTAGGGTTTAGGGTTTAGGGTTTAGGGTTTAGGGTTTAGGGTTTAGGGTTTAGGGTTTAGGGTTTAGGCTTCGGTGTAGGGTTTTGCTGCAAGGCCTACTGCACGAAATACGCCAGGGAAGGCCCAAATGGGTGGAGCTGTTTTTTGGCCAACTGTTTTTCCGCGATTTGTTTTGTCAAATGTCCTCGGTTTTCCCTTAGGGAAAACCTCTATTCCCTCTGTATGATGATAGGACTCTCTGAATCTTAATCAGAATCCTTTTGCTTCTGAAGTTCGTGAGAATTTTGGGTGTGTTTCCTTGGTTTCCCCTACAAATGCCTCCATTCCCTCTGTTTGTTAAAATGATTCCTATGAATGTCCATAGCATTCTTATTCAATTGTACTAAGACCCCTAGTATGTCTTATCGAACGCTTACTAACATTAGTAAATTCTTCTTAGCATGAATTGGATTCTCATAGGACTGCTCTTATATTTCATGAAACCCTACCAATTCTATTCGAACTCTGATTAACTTTCATAGGATTCTTCGCAATTTAATTTAGTAGGATTCTTCTTAGTGTTTGTGGGATTTCTATTAAGGTTATGCCCAACCCGTGCCAAATCACCTATATCCCTTCCCCACCCCACTGAGAAGCCCAAAAGACCGAAACACCTTTTTCGATCCTACGTGGCTCCTCGGAGCCTTACTTGGAGGGCTACTGTCAGTTGCATTTTATTGGTCATGTAGATTCACACCACAAGAATAAGATCAAGAATTGCACTACGAATAACTGGAAAAACAACACACTCACAAAATAGTACCCTGGAGAGCCGCCCAGACCGGCACCTTGAAAATCAGGATGCCCTCCCGGTCCCGGCGGGTGAAGCCAACCTTGGAGGAAACCTGGCGGCAGTGTGGGCGTGGGATGGCTTTCAGAGCGCCTTCGGGGGGTTTGGGGGGTTTACAGTAGGGTTTCGACTCTCACAGTGGCGCACGCGCTGGCAAGGCTCCGGTAGAATCCAGACTAGGGGGTTTGGGGTTTAGGGCTTGGGGCTCTGAGATCCTGGCGAAGATGTGCAGCAAGCCAATCATCCAGTTCACCTCAGTGGCCAGGTGTCTTGCTGGCCGGCCCCAACCCCAAGCCAGGCTGCGGGGGGGAGGGGGTCTTGGCGATTTCGGAAGCGGAAGGTCTTGAAAAAGCACAAAAAGCCAAGATTTTCCGGGCCCACTGCAACCTGAGGGCAAAGGACCCCGCAAGACCCAGACTTGCTGTCAAGCGGCCGTCATCACCAGGATGCCCATGACGGACCTTGGACACCGACACTCATATCCTGTCGTGCTTCAGGGCCGAGCTGGATAACTTTAGAAGACCCGCAGCCCCCCTCACCCCAGTCACACAAAGGAAAATCCGCAGCCTTCAAGGCAACGCGGCCAACAGTCAAAGCGAAACCTCCAAACAAACAGCCCCAAAACAAAGCACTGCCCTGTAGCCCTGCCAGGGTGCATCATCACGCCGGTTGGCAGGCTACCGGCCTTTAGGGGTGCGGCTTCGGGCTTTCTGGAGGGGTAGGGGATCAGGGATTTAGGGTTTAGGGTTTAGGGTTTAGGGTTCAGGGGGGTGATTAGAAGAGGTGGGCTGGGCTTGCGTTCAAACGGTGCGAGGCAGGAGCTGGCGACTCTAGGATGTAGGGGCTACATCGAGTTCGTGGAGGATCCCCACAGCCTTCAAGCGAAAGCAAAGCAAGGCTGGGCGCGCCAGCCGAAAACTTGGAACGCCGAACTTTACCTGCAACAGACTCTTCCTTGCAACAGCCGTTCAGAAGGAGATTCGACGCAACCTTGGGCCAATGGCCCCTAAACCCTAAACCCTAAACCCTAAACCCTAAACCCCAGAAAAAGCCGGCTTCGGCTTTGGGGGCTTCTGAGGCGCCTGGTCCACGTAGTTGATGGAGTACGTGGCCAGGGGCAGGAAGACCGCCGCGGCAATCGCAATGAAGCCTTGCTTGGGATTCTGATCCTGAAGCTCTCGGGCTTCCTGTGACACCCTGAAACATGACCGCGGGCTGCTGGTTCAGAAGGGCAGAACCCGGACGCACACAAGCATTGCCAAGAATCCATAGCGATCGTGTCAAGAGAATAACTGAACAGACTCCCTCAGCAGATTCCCTTGAAACAGGCCACGTATTGCTCTCCCCGAAACCACCGAAAAGTCCATCTTGACTCCACCCCATGATGGAATCAACAGCTTCTCGGAAGCCCCAGAAGCCCTCACCCCCCAGAGCCCCCCAAAACCTCCTGAAGCCCAACAAAAAGACCCAAAATGCCCTTTAGAGAAAATCCTGGAGGCGCGCCCAGAAAGCCCTCTGTTTCCTTTAAACCCAGACTCTGCCCAGAAAGCCCTTTTTTACTGCACTGCCTGCCAGGGACGAAAACCATGCCATTCGAGAGCGTTCTGAGCCCTAAACTCTAAACCCCCAACCCTAAAACCCCTAAACCCTAAACCCGAAACCCTCTTTTGCATCCGGACTCCCGTGTGTGCTAAACCCGAAACCCTAAACCCTTTTTTGAGAACGGACTGGGAAACTGCCGGCAACCTGATAGCAGAGCCTTCCTGCGACCCTATACAAGCAGGGGATGCCTTCACCAGGCGAGACTTAGTATACTGGTAGAAAAAGGGGCGCTGTTGCCTCAACCCTTTTGCAACGGTTTGCATCGTCACGCCAGGACGAAGCACTCAGGGGACATGCACGGATCTAAAGCACCATGCTTTCCACTGCTGAGGGCATAGCTGGATCTTGGAAACCCTAAACCCTAAACCCTAAACCCGAAGTAGCCCAGGTGCTGACGACCACGGCGACCGCGCCCAGCACCGCACGCACCCCCAAGGAGCCCAAAGAGAGGCCCAGGTGCTCCCAGGCCACCTCTGGGGTTTAGGGTTTAGGGTTTAGGGTTTAGGGTTCAGGGTTCAGGGTTCAGGGTTCAGGGTTCAGGGTTCAGGGTTTAGGGTTTAGGGTTTAGGGTTTAGGGTTTAGGGTTTAGGGTTTAGGGTGAGAGCAGTTGCTTTAGGTCTTCTTTAAAAGCCATACAAAAAGATAAGAGAATGGATGTAAGATAGTAAGGCAAGAATATACTTATATACGCAATAATACAAAAGATGACACAATCAATGTAAAATAGTGATGTAAGAGTATCATAATATTCTTTATGTATGACTATATACATATCATAATACTTCTGAATCAAGCGTGAGACAGGCACGAAGCTTTCGAGCAGATTCTCTAACCTAGCGGCCTGTTGATATCACAGTGAGCCCAAAACCAAGAACAGGGATGAGGAGCACAACTTGTCCCACAAACCTGACCCTAAACCCTAAACCCTAAACCCTAAACCCTACCTTTAACCCTAAAACCCCGACCCTGACAGAAGACGGCCAGCCCGCCTCAGGCGGCTCGCATGCCACGTCGCGGACTTTCCTCTGCAAGCGTTGAGAGGAGGCGTCTTTTCCATTTTAGAGTCTTGCCTTCAGGGTTTCGGGGTTTCGGGGTGAAGAGTTTAGGGTTTAGGGTTAGGGTTTAGGGTTTAGTGTTTAGGGGTGAAGAGTTGAGGGTTTGTTTTGCCACCCGTCTAGCCATGCTTGGGGTTGGGGGTTTCGGGGTTTGCGTTTTATCTTGGGGGGGAGGGGGGAGTTTTGGGACCGAGCGCTTCGCATTGTTGGGGCGATGCCGCGCGCCTTCGACCGCAAAGGCGTCTCTGTGTTCGAAAGTTGGCATCGGCCCAGGGCCCCAGTGGTCTTACAGGGTTGGTGCACAAAATATGTCCTCCTGTTTTGTTGAGCCATGGGCAAGCCCGTGGCCTGGTACACCACAAACATGGCATCCCCGGCGAGCTCTTGGGAACACACCGAAAACAAAGGTTTCAGAGCCAAGTTCGAATTTGCACAGGCTGCGGTGAAGTGGGGCTTGCGGAGTGGGGTGGTTTTAAGGTGAGTCAGATTGCAGGGCTTCCCCACACTACCGCTCTGCGGGGGGAGGAAGACTTAAGGGATTCAGATTTGGAGGCCCCAGCAGCTGCTTGGGCATTCGGAAACCTTGCAAAACGGGCAGGGGGGATTGAGCAGGGAACGTCCTCCAAGCGGCCAACAGATTCAGAGACTGTCTTACTAGTTCTTGGTACGGAATTCGGGACAAGCACCTTACATACCCCTATACCAGCCTCGACGCGATCGTACCGGGATTCCTATACTGAAGCCTTTTTTGGGAGGTCCATGATAATACGGAGCCACGGCTCAACTGGTGCATTTTCCCATCGTCGCAAACCTGGGGAGGACGGTTGAAGGTGGGCTCGATCTCGCTCGAACCCACTTCAAACCCTAAACCCTACACCAACTCCCAACTCGCCTTGAAAGTAGGGCTTCGGGTATCCGGGGCGGTATCGACGTTCACAGGGGCACTTCCCCAACAGGTCCAAAACCGAACGCCCCAGATTTATCTTGACTGAAAAGACTTCGCAAGATTTAAAAAGGCCCCTGAACTCTGAACAAAGGCTCGAGCTCCAGAAGCTGGATGACAGGTGCTCCCAAAGCTCCAAGCATAAAGTCTGTATGTGTTCCGAAACGCCCTCATAATTGATCCAGTCTAACACCAAGAGTTACTGGGGGAAAAAAATATGTTTGAAAGGATCTTAAGGTGAACACGGCTAGTTTATACGGAGCGCCCGGTGCACCATAAACGTCTCAACGGCCAGAGTGCTTATCGCGGCTAGTTCAGGAAACCCGGTTGAACCCTTAATCATTCTGCATTCAACGGCGCACGAATACACGGCAAATGCATAAGGAACTGAGGGAAGAATACTGACAACGCCTGTCTCATAGAAGTGCTCTCTTCACCCTGTAAGCCCCTGAAAAACCCAGACTTTGGATATTGATTGTAACGCCTCAAAATACAATTCTTTTCTGGGGCCGTGGGAATAGAATAATAGTGTACGACTGAAGAGAACTAAATTTCCGCAAATGAAGTGCCAAACCCTGTAACCTCAAGTCGTTGTTAAGCCGAGCCCGCCCAGTGCAACGGCGCGTTGGGGAGGAACTCGGGCGTCATCGAGTGTGGCAGCATGGGCATCTGGCGCACACGACTCAAACCAGTTACAGCACCCTCTTTGTGAGGCCGGGAATTACCCCCCCTATTGTGGGAAGAAAAACCCGAGATCTGAAATGGAGAGCAGCCCCCCGAAGACCCCTCTGGTCCCTTGGGCCTTGGCACGCGGGGTCACGCTCCGCACCTCGAGAAATTAAGGCTTCAGGGCGCTCTGGGCTTCAGGGTCCTTTGGACCCTAAAGACCCCCAAAACGGCAACGGACCCGAGGAACCCGGGAGCCGCTTCTCGGCATCGAATCGCAAAGAAAACAGAAAGCAAAAAGCGGCCGCGACTGCACATGGGGGTACCCTATTGGGGTCCTGATTATCAGGGGATGCTACTACTTGGGGATCTATACTGGGGCCGCAAACCCCCATATATTCCTCGTTGAAGCACTCCACATGGGGCGAACACGAAAGTGACGATGTCGGCTTGGCAGCCGTGTGCACTCAAGTGGCACCCTAACTTCCCCATAAGGCACCCCTGATATCGTAAACCCCCGTACCTTTCCTCAAGGACCGGGAGATTCATGATTCTCATCGTCATATGGAGAATCTGGGAGGCTTGCGGGATGTTGAGAGGACCATGCTGGGCCCGGCGCCGCTTCGTTGGTGAAGTGTTGCCGGGCAGACTGCAGATCGTAGTTGTGTGGAAAGATGACCTTGCCAAGGGGTTGAACCTAAATGGCGACTGAACCGAGCCCTTCCTATCGGAACCCTTTCTAGGAGCACTGCCATGGACATTCAAGAGACCTTAGCCTGCCCAGCAGATCAACAGCTGAGCACACGGGAATACAGCCCTGGGCCATCGAGGACAACCTCTCCAGATATTGGGCCACCTTTGATCGCTTGACATGTATGACACGGCATCAGCTCGCGTCGCTTGTACCCATACGCTGCAACCCTCAAACCTTGTTGAACCAGGAGCTGGGACATATGCCTGGAAGTGAGACTCAAAGCGCCTTTTTTTTGGCCACAGGGTGCTACACATGAAAAGGGGCCACGCCTTTTCGTAAGAGCATATAGCAATGAAGGCCTAAAGCACCCGGCCATGATAAAATGCTGACTCTACCTGTCACGAAATTCCAACCCGGCTCCGGCCCTTTTTGCCCTTTTGAATCCCTGAGGGCCACTTACCCCGAAACCTTTCTTGCTCCAGGGCTCACTCTCTCTCATCCTCTCGACCCAAAACATCCCTCAGCCTGCAGAACCAAGGCACAAACACCGAGCCCGCATTCTTCAGCGAGTGCTCGCCCGGCTCCAGCCAAGACCTGCCAGAGTGCAGCTTGCTTCTGGGTCTGGCAGCAACCTCAAAAGCTCTTCAACCCCTCCCGGGCTCGGAGATCACCGCGTTGAAAACCTCCCCCGAGCTCAACGCGCCTCACTTCCTCCCGCCTCGGCGGAGAGTTCCCAGGGTTAGGGCTTCAGGGTCAGAATGAAGAAGCGCTGACGGCATTTGGGGCTTCAGTTCTGGCGGCTGAACTGTTAGCCCTTCGATATTGTTGCATGTAAAATGTCCGCCTGAAGTGGTATCTTTCAGTTGAGATGTGCAGGGCCTGGCGGGCCTCAGGAGGGGAAAGTTGGAAAGACATCGGTGTTGGAAGGTCTGGCCATGATCCCACGAGCCTCCACAAGCTTCCCACATGGCCCTTCTCCGCAAGCAGCAGCCCGAATGCAAAACCCACAGACCCCGCCCGGCCTCATCCCAAACCTCCAACCCTAAACTCCCTAAATCCCCCAAACCACCCCAATGAAATCCCCAAACCCCCCCCCAAAAAACCCCCCAAAACCCCCCCCTTAAACCCCCCCCCCCCCAGGAAACAGATGCGAGAACATGCCGAGCTGCTCCTCCTCTGCCAGTCCTAAGCCTCGAAGTCCAAAGGAGCTGCCGGCCAGCTCCGGCGCATAGGCTCCTCGCGGCGCTTCTTTCCCGCAGCACCCGGGGAGCTTACAAGGCTCTCCCTGAAGCCTCTAGAGGTTCAGGGTGGAGGGTTCAGGGTGTAGGGTGTTAGGGTTTAGGGTTTAGGGTTGAGGGTTGAGGGTTTAGGGTTGAGGGTTGAGGGTTGAGGGTTGAGGGTCTCGGGTCTAGGGTCTAGGGTTGAGGGTTGAGGGTTGAGGGTTTAGGGTTTAGGGCTTTTTCGCTCCCGACGGTTTTAGGGTTTAATCGCTCACACTCGGACCGTGTCCCATGGTCTTGCTGTAGAGCCCGTTCGGGCATGCCGAGGGTTGAGGGTTTGGGGTTTCAGGCGCGCCTGCCAGTGCATCTTGCCGGACCAATATCTTCTCCAGTAGCTCTCGCACACGTCGACGCCTCGATGCTCAGAGGCATCAACTCCACTCAGGAGCAAGAGGCATCAGACACTTGATTCTGGCACGATATGGGAACTAGTCTAAAACAACTCAGCGAATGCGGCTCCCACGTGCCAGCCCCAGCTGATGCACATGATGCATGCCTCCGGTGCCTTGTGGCACAAGCAATTGCTACTGCTTGTGCAAAGCTCGAGCCAAGCACCTGCTCCTGTAGTCGTAGCACACGGAGACCTGCAGATCGTTGATCCCTTAGTGCGAGAACGCCAGCACCCCCCATGTACAGCTGAAACCATTGTCAAACAATGATGCGGTGCTTTGCAGGAATGTATTTAAAACATTTAAACTTCAGGGCCGGCACACGGCGCGGAAAGGCACGAACGCTGGCTTCGTGCTGGTGTTAAAACTTTCAGGTCTAGGGTTTAGAGTTTACGGTTCATGGTTTAGGGTTTAGCCGCTCGGGGTTTAGGGACCATGTGGCTGCTTGTCAGTGGAAGGGTTACATGCATGGCGTAAGACTTCCGCACGAAGCCGAAAACCCGGGCCGCACAGAATTGGGACTGAGGGTTCGGCCAAAACCCTGTCGAACAAACTCCAGGATCTGCTCCTTTTTACAAGCAAGATGGGCAAGATGCACTTAACAACATGAGAATCGTGTTCATGAAAGCCATGCGCATAGGCATAATAACTGGTGCAAGGCTCCGGCCTGACATTTGCGCTTTTCTTGAGGTGGCGGGGGGGGGTCCTACAAGTAGGGTGAATCCTTCGCCCCCCGTTCAGGCGAGACGTGGCCCCTAGAGCATATCAACCTGGCAAGGCAAAGCATCAGCCCATTCAACATACTGATCTTGATAAACGCCAAGGGCCAGGCGGACAAGGGGCCAAGCAGACAAAGACAGAGACAGAGAGACAGAGAGACAGAGAGAGAGAGAGAGAGAGAGAGGGAGACAAAGACAGAGAGAGAGAGCACACACAGTCATCCGTGTGGCTATTTCCAGTCTCCTCGTTGGTGGCCGTCGGCGGGAAGCCCTCCAAATTCAATGCAAACTCAGCCAGCGAAGGGTGCCTGCGAAAAAACCGCAGAGCATGTACACAAGAGGCCCAATGGCGATTCTCGAAATTATGGGCCCCCGTGAATGCCGCGGAGTACCCCCATGAGTGCCCAGAAAGGATCCTGCAAGGAGCCCCTACTGGAGTTGCAGAGAATACCCCAAGAATTCGTCAGAGTAATTTTGCCCAGTCGGACGACCACCGCGCCCAGCAAATGGCAATATAGCTTTAGGAACAGTGGGGATTTTCGAATTGTACTATTACTTCTGCGGGTTTCGCGCGGGATCGCCTCCGGTGGAAGGCCTGGCAAGCGCGCTTCTGGCGCACAGCGTGGGCCAGAGATAGGAGGAGGCCTGCTCCATCACGAAGTGGGAGTTTGCGAT